ACACACACACATTCTCTCTCTCTCTCTGTCTCTCTCTCTCTCTGTCTCTCTCCCTTTCTCTCTGTGTTTGCCTTCTCCTCCACCCCCACCCCCCCCCCCCCAATCATGTCACATCCCTTGTCTTGTTCAGGTGTTCTTGTGCGCTCGGTGAGCGTGCGCAGGTGACGCGGTGCGGAGCAACACCAACGACCCGCCCTTGCCACACCACTCGACCAACAACCATCAACCCGAAACCGCCTGGGATGGATGGCAGGCCGCCAACCCAGCAGCACCCGCCACCCCACCCACAAAGCATGTCATCAACCCATGGTCTTCCCTCAAAACCGTCAGCCATCTCAAGCAACAACGGCAGCAGCAGCGCCGCCACCAGCCAGCCAAGCACCCGCTCCAACGGCGGCACACACGCCGCAATGAGCCAACCGCAGCAACAACAATGGCGCCCGTCGCCAGCCACATCGCAAACGCCACAGCAGCCGCAGTTTCGAATCCCTTCCGGCGCACCGCCAACCTCGCTCGGCACCGCCTCCTCGCGCTGGCCACAGACACAGCCACAGCAAGGTACGGTAGTGAGGGACAATGTCTGTTCTTCCCCTGAGCACCCACACACGCGATCATTTTCACACGTTTCCCTCCTTCGACTGTTTTGTTCAATGCATTGTACAGTGCATTGTTCTTCGCGTCCCTTGCCCCTCGCGTCTTATTCGCTCGTTTGCCTGCTTGCTCGTGGCCTTTGGCGCCCCCCCCCCATTTGTTCATGTATTCCAGCTGTGGTGTGCTCACCCGCCAAGTGGCCATGTACTTGTTCCCATTCGCCCGCTCGCAGGTGCTGCAAGCTTGTCGTCATCTCAACAGCAGCAGCTCATCAAGCTTCTTCAGCAGCGCCAGCAGCAAGTACAACAAACGCAGCAGGCACAGCAACAGCGGCAAGGCGGACAGCCGCCAATGTCACACTCGTACGTGCCCCGTTACCAACCAGCACAAGGCGCCATCAACACATCTAGCGCCTCTGTTTACCAGCAGGCTGCGCAGCGCCAACACACATCCCCTCCCCAGCAACAGCAACAGCAACAGCAACAGCAACAGCAACAGCAACAGCAGTCCAAGTTCACCTCCCACCCGTCCTTTCGACCCCTGCCCCTGTCGCAGGCAAGCCAGATACCACGGCAGCCACAGCCACAACCACAAACAACAGCAGCATCCGCAGCTGGCATGTTGAGGCAGCATGGCAACACAGGCGTGACAGGTGCCAGCACTGGGCCCCACTATGCGGGCCAGCGACAGCACCAGGCGCCGCTCCAGCGCCAGGCGTACGGTCGACAAGCAATGCCATCATCCTCGTCGGCATCCACATCATTTGCGCCCGCGTCAGTTGGGCCGGGCGCTGTGGCACAGCAACGACAGCACCAGCAGTACGCACAGCAGGGCCATAGGTCACAGCAGCAGCAACAGCAGCAACAGCCACAAGCAGCACTGGCGCAGCAGCAGCAACAGGCAACACAAGGACAGCAACAGCAGTCGCAGCCGACGCAAGGGCAGCAGCAGCAGCAGCAGCAGCAGCAGCAGGCACCGCCGCAGCGTCGACAGGAGCTTGAAGCGTGGTACAAGGCTGTTGTTGTGCAGCTCCCGTCGGCCGAGGCGGCGACGCTGCGCTACGTGCTGAAGAAGCAGCCAAACATTGTGGGCACCATCATGCGGTGGGACATTGGTGTGCTGCGTAAGTATCTCCAGCACACGCTGTCCACGTCGCTCGCCCAGCACCAGCAGCGCTCTGCTGCCCAGGGTGGCGCAAAGACCGAACACCCACTGTCACAGCACCAGCAGCACCAGCAGCACCAGCAGCCCGGTGGTCGCAAGCCTGCACACCTGTCTGCTGCGGCACGACAGGGCTTCACCCCAGGCCAGACAGCCACGGGTGCACCGCGCCCTGCAAACCAGCAACACCAACAGCCACAACACCAGCACCTCAGCCGCGTTGCTAGTGGCGTGATGTCTGGCAGCAGCCGCGCCTCTGCTCCGTCAACCATCGCATCCAATCCCGCGGCGGCGGCGGCCGCTGCTGCTGTTGCCATTCGCTCGCAGCGGGCCGCTTCTGCCGGTAGTGCAACGGCACCTCAGACAGCAGATGCATGTACGTGCGCGATGGAGCGAAGAAGCCACGTATCGAGTGCTTTGTGTGTGTATGTGCATGTGTATGTGTATGTGTTGTGTTGTGTTGTGTTGTGTTGTGTTGTGTTGTGTCGTGTTGTGTTGTGTCGTGTTGTGGCGTGTCGTGTCTACACGCAGGGTTTTGTTGCGTTCAATTTTCTCTTGTGGTTGCTCACCTTTTTGTTTCCTCGTGCTACTGCGGTTTGTGTGCTTGTGTGCTTGAATTTGCTTGCATCAGCGACACACTTGTCCCAGCTGCGAGCGGCTATTGCCACTCTGTCGGCGAAGAAGGGCCACCTGCAGCGCTCAATCCCGTCGTGCACCCCACAGCAGGCAGCGGTAAGCACACCACCCGTGTCGACATGTGATGTTCCGCATATCACGCGTTGTGCATGCACATGCCTTTATCTTCCCGTGATGCATCTGCTTGCGTTGTCTACCGTTGTTGCCTGTGCTCCATTGCCGCGTTCTTCCAATGCCAGCCTCATGCCCTTTGCCTTTCGTTTTTGTCATGCTGTCGCTGTCTCATGCTGTCGCTGTGTTGCTTTGTCCCATGTATGTGTGTGTGCGTGCGTGCATGACAGGTTGCGCGCACTGCTCTTGCGGGTGTTGAGAGTCAGTTGAACGAGCTTACCCGGCGCTACACGCAGCTGCAGGCCAGCCTCTCCCGCGCCTCACAGGTGTGTGTATTGTGTGAGTGTGCATGTTGTGTCTTTGTCTGCTTGAGACGTGCCTTTGGTGTATCTGGTGTTGGCAGCGATTTGTGCTATGTTCATGTGGACAACACACACACACACACACACACACACACACACATTTCTCGCTTTGCGTTTTCCACTCAACACGCATATGCACACACCTGCGCGTGCTCGTTAACGATGGCGACCACCAGCTTGGCGGTGCCATTCGGTCTGCAACAGCGCCGTCAACAGCGACAGCGCAGCCGAAGCAGGCACTAACAGCAGCACCAACGCCACCAGCGGCTGCAGCCGCTGCTGTGGCTGCAGCGAAGAGGCCGACGGGCCGTGGATCTCGTGGTCGCGGCGGCGCAGTCAGCAGCACAGCGTACGTCATGGTTTGGTGCAGCGATGAGCTTGCTGTTTCGTGGCAGCGCAGCTTGTTTCGTGTTGTTTTGTTGTTAGTTTGTTTGTCCACGACCGGCTGCCCTTTGAAAACACCCAGTCACAAATCAACACGCTCGCGTTGTGTCTTTGTGTCTTTGTGTGTTTGTTTGTTTGTGTGTTTGTGTGTTTGTGTGTATTTCTGCGTGCCCGTGATTGTTTTCTTGTGGCTCATCCATTTGCCCATTTGCCCATTTGCCCATTTGCTTTGCGTGTGCGCCACAGGAACGTGAATTACGGGTCCAAGACCACATCGCGCTCTTCAAACCGCGGCCGCCGGTCGACAGCAGGGCAACGCATCTCAGCAACGCCGACTGTTGTTGCGATGGACGTGTTCAAGGCAGACATCAAGAAGCGTCTGAAGCACGCCCGCAACGAAGCAAAGGTGCGCCTCAGCTGCTGTACATTCGTATGTGTTGCATACGTAACGTTTAACACACGTGCCGTGTGTTGTGTATGCATGTTCATGTGAAGGCCTGAATGCGTGTTGATGTGTTCATGTGTTCACGTGTGGGCGTGTTGATGTGTCATCATGTGTTTGGGCATGCTGAGCGCTGACGTGTGTGCGTGTGTGTGTGTGTGTGTGTGTTTTGCCACCAGGTGATGGCGGCAAGGCGCAAGAAGGCCGAGCCAAAGCCGAAGCTTAGCTTTGAGAAGACGTTTAAGCCAGACCCGCTCAAGTGCACGTTGGAGGAGGAAGACGTTTAAGCCAGACCCGCTCAAGCGCACGTTGGAGGAGGTCGAGAGGTGCGCATTGGAGGATTGCTTGATTGGCCGACTCATTGATCGATTGATGACGTTTTCTGCCCATCCCTGACACACACACACGTTTTCTGCCCATCCCTGACACACACACACACACACACACACACACACACACACACACACACTAATGTTTGCTGCCGTTGCTTGTTCCTGTTGACTGTAGACGAAAGCGCGCCAAGCTCTCTGATCACCACGTCGTTGAAGAATCAGACCCGCCCCCGTTTGCAACTGTGACCGACGCATTCAAAAGGTGTTGACGTAATGGCAGTCATCACACACATACACACACACATATTCCCTGCAGCTTGCCTCGTTGACGAGTGCATTGTGGCCATACCTATTCTTGACGTGTTGCTGATTGCGACAAACGTGCTGGTGTCTACATGACCTTTGTGGGTGTTAACCAAATGCACTGTCTCGTGGCTTGCTCGTGGCCGGTTTTGAATTCAGGCTACTTTCATATCACGCGCTCTCCTTCGAAGTGCCAGCAGAGGAAGAGACAGATACAGGTACGCTTTGCGTATGATTGTGTGTGTGTGTGTGTGTGTGTGTGTGTGTGCGCGCGCATCAGCGGTTCGAGAGAGCCAAGTTGAGGCATATTTTAGGTGTTTACCCAACACCCCCACCTTGCACACTGCTCATCCTGGTTGCGCTCTTGGCTCTCTTGTTTGCGTGCTTGAATGCAACACCGCAGCTGAGGACATTTACACGCGTGCGGCGGACATGCTGCAATCGCGCGTCAACAACCTCCACCGCGAGTACCAGGCAACCGCTCTTCGCGTTGCGGCGGTGAGAGCACACACACACACACACACACACACGCACACACACACACGCACACACGCACGCACACACACACACACACACACGCACGCACGCACACACACGCACACACACACACACACACACACAGTGCCACACCCTCGGCGTCCCCTTTGCTTTGGCTCATCACGTCTTCATTTGCATGTGTGGTTTTGTCGCGTGTGCAGAACAACTTGTCTGACACGGCTCTGACGGTTGGCAACGAGCATCGCCTGATGGAGGCGTGCAAGGAGGAGACTGCAAAGGCGCGAAAAGAGATTGAGGAGGACGTGCAGCGCCAACGTACGTTACCTCGTTGTCGTGCACCGCGGGGTGTTTGCTCTGGTGTCGACCCTGGCTCACCACAAACCACTTTCCCTTTTTCGCCATTCACACACGCACGCACGCGCACACACATCCACGCACACACACTTGCAGGATTGAAAAAACAGGAGGAGGAGCGTGCTGCAACGGCGCGTTTGGCGGCAGAGTTGTTTGCATCCACAGAGCTCACCTCTCAATCCAGTCGAGGTGCGCATTTCACTCCTCGTATGCCGTCTCACTCTCTCCAATCACAGCACACACACACACACACACACACACACACACACACACACACACACACACACACACACACACACACACACACACACACACACAACACCGCCCTTATTGTTTTGCTGTGTGAAATGGCACGTGCAACCACCTCCCTCACCGCCTTCTCTTCTTCCTGTGTGCGTTTGCAGAACACATGTCTGTTTCAGACTTGGAACGGATGATGTTCATGTAGGCTTGTACCATTGTACGATTGTACTGCACGGTTGCGTATTGTGGTTTTGTCTTCGTGTGCTTCTCGAATCTTGTCTACCCCCTTGTTCTCTTCTGGCGACTCTTCCCTCTGCCCTGAGCACGCGCGATTGTTTTCGCCGCCTTGCTCGTTATTCCTCTCTCCTCGTGTGTGCGTGTGTCTGTGTCTGTCTGTGTGTCTGTCTGCATGTCTGTCAGTTTGTGCTAATGTGTGATGTTACCTGTGGCTGTTACCTTTACCGTCTTCACCAAGCTTGCAAACGTGCTGATGTCATGCTGTTTGTATGTGTCTGCCCAAGGCTGGTGCCCGTCGTATGTTATGCTGCTGGGCACATGCATGACTCGTGTTCTGCGTGCATGTGTGTCGTCATCGTCAGGTGCCTCTAATATGTGCCATAGTTTACTGTTAACAGCATTCGTACTCCTCAAATGAACAAATCGCTCAGGTCCAACAAACGACAAAGGAACCCCAAAATCGTACATGCGCCTTCAAGCTATTCAACGTGTCTGTCACACTGCTCGTCGGCTTATGCCGCATTTCGCTGCCGTCCTCACTGTTCTCTCTCCAAACGATACGCGTGTCTCTGATGGTTGATGCCCATGTAACGCACTTGCCCCCCCCCCCCACACACACAATCTTTTGCAAGCCATCCTGTGCTACTGCGGGCTGTGCCCAGCACGCATCCTCCAGCCACCACGACCAGCGCTGCAGTCAGCACTGTCGCTGCCACCGCCCCTCACGGCAGCTGCCTGTTCGCGAAGTGACGCTGGAGGTAACGCTGCCACCCCTGACCGCTCATCCCCTCCACCGGTCAGCACCAAAGACGAGCCGCCGTGGTGTGCGGGCCACGGCGCCATTCCTAACACACCATTATGGCCCGTGTGACTGGTGTGACTGGTGTGGCTGTTGCTGTTATGGGTGCTGGTGGCGCTGCGGTTGTTGTTGGCCGCTTCCGTGAGACTGGCGCCGAGCGCGACTGCGCGGGAAGGGTGGACGGTGTCCGGTGATGAGGACAGCAGTGACGGCAAGGGTGACAGCTTTGGATCATGGTTTGAGACATGCGCCTGCTCCAACCACCACTGGCCCTCTTGCTGGTGTTGTCTGTGGTCATGCATCTCCTGGCGGGACTGTACCCACCGACCCGTTCCGCTGGCACCATCACCGTTGCTGTTTTCGCTGTGGGCCGTTGCACGTGCTTCATTCTGAGTGTGCCCATGTTGCATGCGTGCGGGGTTTGGTGCGGTCCGCCCGTCCTCTTCTTCCTTCGCTTGGCGCCTCCGATGCTCATCTTCCTCGCGAACAGCAACGTCCCCTTCGTCGTCGTCGTCGTCGTTACGGTGATGTCGACGACCACCACCACGACCACCACCACGACCATCAATGTTGGGCAGTGGCAGGTCTTGCAATGACCCTGCCAGCCGGCCGCTGTCAACGCCGTCTGTGCGCGTGGATGACGTCCCTCTTGATTGCCGATCGTTGCTGCTGCCAACACCAAGAAAAGCGGCCCGAGCCATCACCATGGCATGGTGCTCGCTGTGGATGTCCTCATCACCATAGCCACCACCATCACCACCATCACCACCATCATCACCATCATCACCATCATCACCATCACTGCCGCCACCTGCACTGCCATCGTCCTCACGGCTACGGGCGCCAACACGCGCAACGTCTGCAAATGCGGTTGGCGCCAGCTTGCGCCCTGTGCTGCTCAGGAGTGGGTGGTCTGCGGAGAAGATGTGTGCGTGCGCATCCAGTCGACCACTCCCATCCTCACCGTCGGCTGTGGTGGCAACAGCGGGGCCTGGTGTGTGACCACCACGTTCATTGACAGAGCTTCGCGACGCGAGAGGACGGGCACGAACATGTGACCTTGCGTGCTGGCGACCAGTGGCGTGCTGTGCCATGCCGTCCTGATGACCATCCACACCGTATGGCGTCACGTCATCGTCGTCGTGGTCGGGCGTGAGTGTTTGCAGCGTCAGCGGCGCGTGCAGGTGTGAGGCACGAAGCGTCTGGCCTGGTGACAGCGGCTGGCGGACCAGCGTCTCTTGCTCGCCCTGCATGTGCTCCCCTGTGCCACGCCCATCGCCATGACGCCTGCGGCCGTTCACGTGAGTGGCCCCACGTTGATGGCTATTTCTGTCATGCACTGCGGCACGCCGACTCTGGTTGGCGCGATCACCACTGTTCTGCCGCCCATAATCGTCACCATCACCACCACGAACACCACCACCTTCACCATCATGACTGTGTTGCCCAACACCTTCGCCACCGCTACCATCATCATCATCACCGTCATCGCCACCATCATCGTCGCTCGTGTGCGCACCACGGAGCGTACGGTATGGACGGTGCTGGTGCTGGTGGTGATGATGGCGATGGTAGTGACTCGATTCTTCCGGGTCGTTGACGCTGAGATCGCTGAGGTGCAGCGAACTATCAAGGTCTGTCTGCGCAGCTGTGCGGCCATCGTCGTCTTGTCCATCCTCCAGTCCAACTGCTTCCATGTCACCGCTGCTACCTTCACAGTGATTGCGGCGATCACGAATGTTGGTTTCGTGGCAGCCATCACGATGGCCCAAGTCTTCAACAGCACCACCGTTGTCATCATCATCATCATCGTCATCATCCCCAGCATCAGGAGCATCAGGAGCATCAGGAACGCGGGGAGGTGCAAACCGCCGCCGCCACCGCCTGATGTCCTCGCCATCGCCACCGTGTTCGGAGGATGCAATGGTGCCCACAGAGCGGGTCTTTGTGAAATCGGAACCCTCGGGGCTGGAGTGCTGCGACAACGTCCCTGGGCCGCGCTGCTGCTGCTGCTGGTGAGTACCACGACGGTGCATTGCAAAGGAAAACGGGGCACCGTGCGAGGTAGCAGACGCCTGCCCATGCCACGATTGCTGCTGCTGCTGCTGCTCGTGGTGGTGCTGGTGGTGGTGTTGCTGCTGTTGCTGCCCCTCAGTCAACAGAGCCAAGATGCCAGTGCCACTACCGTTGGACGCCAAAGGGAAGGATGAAGGCAGGGGCGCTAGCGCTGCTGCTGGTGTCGTGGTCGTGGTCGTGCCCGTGGTTGATGGTCGTGGTTGTTCGGTGACCGGAACACCACGGCGACGGTATGAGGCCTGTGCGGAATGCGGTGCTGACGTGACGGCATTGTCTGCAGCGTTCACATCGTCACCAGCGAGGGGCATGCGTGCAAGCAAGTCTGCCACCCCACTGCTCAGTCGAGCGTCTGATGATGAGCGACGCAGGCCTGCGTCTGCACCACCGTTGCCGCTGCGCTGCTGCCACAAGTGCTCAACACGCGAGTTGCCATTGCGATGTGCTGTGCTGCTAGATGCACGCGTGGCGGCGGCCCTGTGTATGTGTGCGTCGTGCACGGGCATACGCGCAGGCGAGCTGGACACACCATCAAAGCCAGTGGTTTGTCCGTGCGTTGCACCGCCGTCACGAGCACCGCCACCACCACCACCATCACTGCCTTCCGCATAATCGCCATTGTCCGTTCTCGTGTGATCACCACCATGGAGGAGGGAGCGACGAAGATAAGCCGCCAAACTCGCATGCGGACTCACTGCTTGCCCGTCACGCTGCTGCTGCTGCTGCTGCTGTTTGTGGTGGTGTTGGTGGTGGTGTTGGTGGTGGTGTTGGTGTTGTTGGTGTTGTTGGTGCTGTCGTCGTGGGCTCTCACCACTGGCATTGCCAGTTCTGGCGTTGCTGCTGCCGCCGCTGCCTGGACTGGTGTCTGCGTGTCTGTTGACTGCAGTGCGATGACGAGCAGCGCTGTCATCGCCTGCCACGGGTTGTTGGTCATCTGCTTGACAATCCAAGCATGACTGCAGGCCACTACGATGGCCCTCCTCCTGACGTGTCGCATCACCATCACCGCTGTCGCTGTGTGCGCGACCATGTGCGCCGCCATTGCTGCCACACCGCTGCTCTTGTCGTTGGACATGCTGGTGGCGGCTGGTGCGTCGGCGCTGGTATCCTTGCACATTGCCTCCCGAGAGAGAAAGCAGCCGTGCAATGCTGTCGTTGCCGGGGGTCTGCAGGTGCGGCGGGGGCGTTTGCAGTCGAGGCACATCCATACCACCAACATCGGCTCTGGTGCTGGTGGTCTGGCGTGGGGTCGAGGTGGGTCCGTGTGGATCTGCACTGCGCTCACCAGCCATCAACGCCCTTGTCCCCTGCCCAGTTCCATCAACACCACTGCCATCGCCACCGGGGCTGCTGTGAGGTGCACGTGAGGCTGCAGCCGCAGTCACTCCTGTCCGTCTCGCTGGAGACGGGCTGTGATGCGCATGCCGCCCGCGCTGTCGCGGGGCCGACGGTGGCAATGATGATGATGATGATG